TTGAACATCTGGAGACAGATGTGTGAACACTGATCAGAGCAAACGCGCAGCCTGCCTCAAGTTTTATCATCTCAAACCTTTTGGGGAGTAAAGCAGTGTGAGTTCACTCGTCAGTTTCTGCGAAGCTCGTTGTTGTTTATCGACCTGTCCGACCGGTCGATCGGCTTTGTTTCACGCTCTTCTCTCGATGGAGGCGCCAAGGACAATCCGGTGTCTGATTGGCTGAATCCAGGTGTTGCTCCGGGCAAGTGATTAACATTTATGGGTTTGACGGTAGCCGCCCTGCTGTCACTGAACGCCTCTCTTTGTTTGTTCACAAACAAAAGTGGGTTAAGTAACCACGGAAACCAGGTGATTGGATAGATCTCCAGTCTTGATGTTGTTCACAACATGAAGTCACAACATTTCAAGCTACTTTACAATTTTGCCAGACCCGTGATCTTTGTGATATCTGCAGCTTGTGTTCATATCACCTCGCTGTAACCACGGTGACGGACCCAACCTTCCTGTTTCCTCTCTGTGAACATTAAGATGCACGAACTTGTTTATTGCTGGATCGTTCAGGATATGCAGCCGTTTTGTTCAGTGGTGAATAAGAACGCTGTGAGCTGCAGGAACATTATTAACATGTTATATTAAACAGCTGCTGAAGGGTTTGGTCAGTCGAGCACGTGGGAAACATTTCTGCCTGACAGGTAGGACTGTGGTTTCCACGTCTGCACCTGTTGTGGGTGCAGTGACTCAATAAGCTGCAGAGGTGTGCTGAGGGAGACCGTTCTCATTCCCAACGCGTAACATACCGACGATTCGTCATGTCCGAGGTGTCCCATAGGAATACGAAAGCTGACCTTCTGTGTCCCTATGATACGCGCCGGATTCTGACGGGAATCCAATAGAATGACTGAGTTGACGTCTTCCACATTATGCTGTCTGTAAGATGAGCTGTAGTCATCCTCCAGCCTTATGCAGTCTTAATCCGCGACTGATGGGAAACTCCAGGCCTTCCTTGAGCTGGTGATGAGACCGAGCAAAATAAAACCGGAAGAATCTAAAGAGCAGACGCAGAGAAGCTACGTTCCACGTACAAACAAAAGTACAAACAAAAGTAGAGAATGGCAGTGACATAAACTAAAACCTAAACTGGTAACGAGAAACATGCAACCTGAGACGAAGAACGAGAGAAAACCTGAACATTGGAGAGAATGACAGCAGGAGAAACACCAACACAGGCAGGACAACGAGAGGACTGGGAGCAGCTGGGAATAATCAGACACCACGTTCTTACCACCTGAAGCTCTGCCGTCCTTACACAGTTGAATACAAGACTTTACAGTCCTCGGACTTTCTCACGTTCCACACTTGTTACGACAGCTGGCAGAGATGAGCTCGCCGTGTGGGTCAGCAGGTTGCATTTAAACCGTTGGTGCACACTGAGTGTTGCTGCCATGACTACTGTGAAGAAACCTGCGCCATGCCGCCAACGGCCGTGTCATGTGTCCAACTAGACTTTAAGCAAATAGTAAAATTGTCCTTTGTTGATGCTGCCTTGTATTGGACACATTATTGTTTGTATTACTGCATCACACATTTAATTCATTCTGTTTGTGTCATCATGTAACCACACAATCAACCACCCCATGCACCCCCTCCACATCCACACCCTCAGCAGCATATGAGTGATGTCTCTCCATGAACCCAGATTAAAAACACCATCAAATGAATAAAAGCACATCATCATCATGTTATTTGAACAAGTTTATTTAATTTTCACATAATTTTTTACCTTGTGTACATTTCAGAAGCACGTATTTTAAAGTATTCCCAATAAAGGATCTCTCATTCAGGATTTCCTTTAAACAAACATATATGAATATATACATTTTCAGAGAAGCAGTTCGGTTGGACACTTTCCTCTCAGGCGGCTGCAGGAGAATCTGGACCTCTGGCTTCCTACTTAAAGAACCCCCCGAGAGCGTTCCCCACACCTGAGAGAAAAAGGATCCGATTAATAAAAGACACTGAATGTGGAAAGACATCAACAGCCGGGGCCAAAACCTGCAGTTCCTCTAGTGTCCGACAGGGGCAGCAGTGAGTCCGTCTCCATAGACTCCCATGTTAAAACTTTGCAGCAGAAACAAATGTTTTCAGACTGCTAAAGATCGTATCAGGAGGAACTCAGAGGACGTTTTTATTGTTCACATGTTGAATCTTTTAAACCTGCTTCCCCAAAAACAGCTGAACAGAAAACATGTTCAGCTGCTGCCAAACTCAAAATTTAGTCTAAATGTTTGACATGTTTTCTGTCATTTATGAGGAAACTGCATTGTGCTGTTCTTTATTAAGGTTTGTGATCCACTGTTGGTCATGAAGTGCAAATTAACCTGCACAACATAAGATCAGTTGTTGTTTCACTTTAAAGTAAGGAAACGATGCTGTTGCAGATCCTGTCACAGCTGCGATCTTATCACACATCATGTGACAGCTGTTGCTTTGCCGTAGCTGTGAGCTTCACAGTTACAGGAGGAAAAGGAAGTTAGACGGCGCTCACCTCCTCCTTGATCCTCATTCTTGTTTCCACCGGCCAGTTTGACGATGTCTCCCACGCCGAAGCCTCCTCCTCCTTGATCCTCATTCTTGTTTCCACCGGCCAGTTTGACGATGTCTCCCACGCCGAAGCCTCCGCCTCCGCCTCCGCCTCCTCCTCCTCCTCCTCCTCCTCCTCCTTCCTTCTTCTGCTCACCCTGCTGCTGTTTGTTTCCACCCATGGCCTTCTTCACGGCACCCTCCACCACCTTACCTGCACAGTAATGAGCGGTGCAGTTTATTAGAGGACGTCCTCACTGACATCATCTTTTTATCATCTTTTCTTTTTGTATTTTTATCATTTTTACTAAAACTGTTGAACTGATTCTGCTTTAAATGGTTTATTAAATATGTTCATGTTTTATTTAATAGTTCTGTAGTTTCTGTCACGCTCTTTGTCATCATGGTTATCTTTGAGCTGTGTGTATGAAACATGATGTCAGATATGATGCGAGTAAGTTTGACTCTACAAAAACGTCCCAACTTTAAAATGTTTGTCAATAATCTCAGTGCCTGTAATAAAGTCAAACATCATAAATAAACAAATGTGTGTTTGCATGTGCACTTTAGAAAACTGCAAAAACAGCTTGTAATGCAGTGATGTGGACGGATTCCTACAAGTTTACATTTTAATGAATAAAAAATGAAACACGATCTGATGATAAAAAGAAAAAAATGCAGATTCTTTCATAACATATTAAAATCTTTGCCTTTAGCTTCTGATTGTGCATTTAGAAATAAAATCCTGAGGTTTGAAGCTGTTGCTGACAGCAGAATAAAAACTCTTTTTAAAATAACATTTAAACCAAACTCACCGGCCTGCTGTCCCGCAGCACGAGCAATCCCATCGTTACCCAGAGCTTTGCCGAGGAACTCCGCCATGACTGCTGCTGTCTGGACTGTGTCTGTGTATGCCGAAGCTTCGGTCTTATACACGCAGGTGCGCTCGTCCCCTCAGGTGATGGGGGACGAGAGCCGTTCCCGCCCTGCTGAGGAATCAGGCGTGGCTGCCACACAGGACCAATCATGTTGGTGTGAACCCAGGCGGCAGTTGAAGAGTGACGGTGAGGAGCAGTAAATAATGCTGCACATGTAAAAGTCACAGCGCCTGCGGTCAGAGCTACGAGCATCACCTACAGGCTCTACAAACAATGAGAGGTGTGTCTGCATATTTAAGTGACAATGACACACTTTATTATTAATGCTCATAATTAAAACCTGTTTTCATAAAACTGCATCAGGACACTGTGGGGTCACCTCAGTGAGTGTGTGTTACTTCTATGACTGTGTGTTGTTGCTGTGTGTCGACACAAACGTGTCTTCTCTCGTTGGTTCTGCTGGTTTCCTGTCACACGGCTGCTCGGTTCTCACACTGTTGTGTTGATGAGGATCTGGTACGTGATTGGCTGCTGAATCCAGGTGTTGCTCTTAGCAGATGGTTTATGGGTTGGACCCGCCCAGCTGTTGTTGAACGCCTTTCCACATTAGTTTAAAGTAACCATGGAAACCAGGTGACAGGACAAACTCACCTGCAACATGTTCATGTTGATCTTATAAGCTCATTTACAGGAGTCAACATAATTTCA